CCCTTTTCACACGTCCTTCGGCCACTATGTTTGTATTGAAATCCATTCATGCATCTAATGGTAACACAGCAAAAAGTGTTTTACTCACAATTTGCAGTTCAAACTTGTGCCCCTTTAGTGCTTGAACAGCTCTGGACGTTTAACCTGAATCTACCTGCAAAGTCAGCATCTACTGAGCCGTTTTCATAAAACTCTTGTCTGTGAGAGGCAGCTAACACATGCACACTTTTTCCCAACTGAGTAGCTGGCCTGGGAAAACACCTTCATTGAACCTAGTTTTTCTGTGTGTTTTATTTGTTGGGAAGATGAAGCTTGTAAATGAGTAATGATAATAATAGTGATCTACATGCCCTCACTACCGAAAACCCAGTTTTTAAGCTGCTCTGAAGTAGAACCATGCCAAACTGCTGTAGCAGTAGCAGATCATTTATTATTTGCAGCGCAGTAACTTCTGCTCTTAAAATGCTTGTGGTGGACAACATGCACGCTCTAGTTTCCATAAGCCTGCACTGCCAAAAGAATTCCACCGATTCTGCCTTTCACTCTTTGCAACCCATGTAACCCATGGAAGAAAAGTAAGTGAAGAAAAACTGATTCTACAATGGCTTTACGTAACAAGTTTCTTCTGCAAAGAAATACTAAAACATGTGAGGAAAATTTCTTACCTTTGGGTGCCAATTAAGGTTTCTAATCATTATTTGAACACTGCACATAACCCAGACAAGTTGGAAGTGCATGCCATGAGACCATACTGTGTAAAATTCACAAGATGTATAATGGTCTCACAGCAGAGGAAGAAAATCGCCAGCCTTCCTTCAAATTCATCTGCAAGCCTGCGCCTGATTATCAATTTATCCAAACATGCAAATGTGTGAACACGAGTTATCTTCAGTCTTAATGTTTTGATAAAACTGCATGAAACACACAGAAATGCCGTCTTGGGTGTGGTTGTGTCTTGCAACAAATCAATATTCGCCAGAATTTCGGCACTTGAAAAGTGCTGTGTGCAAAGCATTTTGCTAATGACTGTCGGCAAGCTGTGATCTTGCAGCTGTCAGCTTAATATAACGTTATCTTTTAATTGATCGCAATTCACATACGCTGTGAAACACTAAATGCCCGCTTCTTGCATGTCACATAAATTGTGCATGCACATATCAACATTAGGTGTGTCTTTTTGGGGTTGATGTTTGGCTGAGGAAAAAACATCACTGCAGGCCATGCTGGGGCACAATAAGCATTTGAATGCCAGAAGTGGCTGTTCCCTTCTTTAAACCCCCAACCGACACTTCTAGCTTGTAAACATGGCTAGACTATCCCACTCCACCTCCTCCATCACCTCCCATCCTGAGCCTCAGCCCCCCCCCTCCTGCTGGGAGCTGGCAGTTGGACAGACTGCGTCTTATCTCCCCCCAAGGGATGAAGAAAAGGGGGATGGGGGCTAGCTTTGTCTACCAGCGGTGAACTTTGTCTTGCACCTCCGTGTCCAGGCCCACTCACAAACATAAAGCAACATACACACACATGTGGCATGCTTGACATGCCCTACTATTCTTATATAACATTTTTGAAAAATACCACATCCATGAGTATGGTTCTTTGTCCTCAAATTCTACATGGAAATAGGAATGCAGTTAAAAATCATTTGCCCTCAGGACGTTTTTCGGCTGTTTACCAAAACAAAGGGATGTTTACATCAGATTCAGAATAATCCCTGACATGAAAAGGTCATGGAACATTCACACACAAAGAGCAGGCCCAGCGGCCCCCGCTAACCCCACCCAGTTAGGGCTGCAGGGCCCCCACCATACAGACGTCAATACACGAGACGTTTGAAGCGTTTCTGGGGCAAAAAGACAAGATCACACCTATCACACCTCATAATAATCTGTCTGGCGTGTTCCATACAGGCCTCAGGAAAGGATGATCAGCAAGTTACTTTCAATCAACGTATATTGCAGTTTGGAGTAAAAGATGTGCCAAACTCAAGAATACTGTCTATCTGGTTGTTATATCTCAACAAAGATATTTATGTCAGCAGGATTTCTCACTTTTGTTGTTTTTTAGCTGTCATTATGAGATTCTCGGATTGTCGGTCTCTTTTAGGTCCAGTATTTTTTCATATTCAAGTCAGATTTATCTAATATTCATGTACAAACAACTGTATCTTATAAAATCTTGTACGATAATGCTTTGCCATTTATACATGGTTAGACATGATGAGTCTGAGCTAATAATGTGTTGCTGTTCAGTACGTGTATCTGCACATGAAAACGCGGCCTTGGCATAAACTCAGAGTAACACAAACAGAACTGTATGAGTGTCTCACTTTCTAGCAGTTTATCCTTGAGTATTTATGGTCCTGACCAAAAAAGGAACACTTGATGTAATGGACTACCAAAGCCTTACTTTTACTTTTGGTATTTTAGTTTTTTTGCATTGGATATTAATTGTGGATTCTGCTATTCTTTATTTTATGACGCTTAAGAAGGAAGAAATTGATTCCCATTAACATTATTTGTCTTGTATATGGATATGATTCTGTTTGAAGCAACGTGCTTCATTTTAAAGAGGAGCAATCTGCAGTTATTTTAATTATTCAAATAACTGAATAATTATTTTTGTTTAATAGTTAAACATTGAGTAAAAATGGAATTTCTCATAGGAAAATTCCTTTTGAGAAACAAATCAGGAAAACTTTCGTTTTTTGTTTTTGCAAAACATCATTGCTTACATAGACTTCCAGTTACCAAGGCATTCTGCATAACAGAACACCACTTGAAAATGGAAAAATCTAATCCTAGAGATTTTATGTCTACACAGCCTACAAACAACAAAAACGTGACTGAAAGTTAAGCAACTTAATGCACATTTATTTAGCCAAAACCCACACCCTCCACAGCAACGCATCGTGTCAGATCCACACGTAAGCGTTCGTAAAGCCAGACAAACACAGACACACAAGAGCAACACAAAGATAACTAACATGAGTAACTTGATGTCTCATGTGGCCACAGGCACGCAGTGGCATCTCCAAAATGTTTCACCAAATCATGTTCGTGACATTTAAATGCTGTTAAAGCAAAAAACGTCAGCCTTGAAATTTGCTTTCTATCTATTTCTGTATAGTTTTAATTTAAAACTAAATATGTTTAATATGCGTCATTTTGTAATGTGTACAATGTGTACAATTCATGGACATGCTGGTATTATCTGTGATAGTTTTTACAGAATTATTGAATCAGGGTCACCCATGTCTGAGAGAAGTCTTGGGTCACATATATAAGGCCTCAAACACACATACAAGCACACACAAGGCGCCGAGCCGCTTTAGTTGTATTAGGAGGGTTAGGGATTATGGCTATGAGGACATTCAGTCATGAGTTTCATCTGCAATATTCCTGGGAAAATAGTCCCGCCAAGTAAACATTGTTTTTTGTAGTTTGTTTTTTTTCTCTCGCTGTCTGTAATCAGTTTTTGATGTCCCCTGTGTTTTTTCATCAGGATTTTGCAATAACTCCAATGATAAGGATAGAGTTGTGGGTGTTGGGCCTTATTGTTGATAGAATTTTGGGGAAGGATGTGAAAATTAATCCTTGAACCAATGTTTTTCCGAAGGAAAATTGATGGCCATCGCTTTATCAAGTATTCTAGTATTACAACGCTTTAGATGAAGTAAATACCTAGAAATTACTTAAGCATCTAACTGCGCCCTGAACTGCAATGGTCATATCTATTTAAGATAAATTTTTTAAAGTGTACCTAATTTATAATTTGAAAGCAGACTATTTGTTCTTGAACAGAGCACACAAAAATAGAGGGATAGTGTGAAAGTGGGTCTTGTGAATGTAGGGCTTTGAGACTGTGTGTGGGTAAAGCAGGCTTACAGTAGTAATCCTCTTCGCAGACATCCATCTGACTAGCAACAGGACGAGGCCCAGACAGACACACACACACACACAGATTTAGTTTGTTAAGAGATCTGTTTGGTCTTGTTTTTATAGATCTGAACACACAAAATAGGCCACGGTTCTTAACCACATAATCTATAAGAGATCCGAAATCTCAAACCGAAATTGTAGTTTTCCAGTGCGTCTTTGTGTCGCGGGTGTGGCACAAAATTCTTTGTTGGAGACTTGAAATTCTTTTTTTATCAGCCATCTAAATAAAAGGGACTCCTACAGGAAGACAGAGCCACTGTTGACTTTATTGGTTCCTGAATTTTGTCATTACTGCTTCCTGGCTGTGATGTCATGAGTCGGCTAATGACAGAGAGGAAGAAGGGCTATTCATCCCCAAATAACTCAGGAAAAACAGACAATTTTAAAAGGCATAATGAGCCTGCAGGAACAGCGTCAGTGAGTTACGACTGTGTCACAGTCTGAGTCATTTTGTCTTGGAGGAAAATGCTTTTAAGATCCACAGCACGACATCAAAGTGCCCCAGCAACACAAAGTTAAACCAATGTTGACTTTGGCTATAATGAAGGCCAAATTAGGGGGTTTAAGAGAATTGACATGTGGATCTAATTCAATCATTTAATTTAAATCATGCACTCAAGAGACCACTGGTAAACCCCCTCAAAAAACCACCACAAACTTAAGACAGACGGGACAAGAAAGATTATCTGTATTTTTTAAAATTATTTTTTAATTTTGGCATTTCTTTGTTTTGCATTTATATTAAGCAAAGTGCATCTTGTTTTCTTTTCTCATCAACACATTGCACAATACATAAATAATGATGCATATAAAACGTCTTCATATTTACAATTAATAATATATTTATATATAACATAAAATACATTTTTCGCTTCTTATTTAATTAAATCTCAGTCATTATTTAAACAAAGTCTGTCAGAACTTTATACTTTCTTCTTCTTTTAAATCCTTTTTTTCTGTCTTGTGAGCCTCTGGAACAAAAAAAAAAAAGGAAAGTGGATGAAGTCTTTTCGAGGGAGGACAAAAAAGACGAGGAGGAACAGGGAGTAAAGGCTGCTGCTATCGGGTGTTGAAGATGATTTCCAGCCAACACGGGCAACTACTGATAAACTGTCTGGTGTAGCACTGTCCCCAGCCTTTCACGAAGCTTATCTGCACCGTGAAGCCTGTGCGAGGCTGCTGCGTGAACTCGTGGTCGTTGGGCCTCTGCAGGCTGCCGGCCTTGTCATAGTCAAAAGCTTTGATGGAAAATCCGGGGAACACCTTGTGCACCAGCAGCGTGCGCGAGTCCGGGTTGTCCAGTGTGGCCGACTTGATGAAGATGGGATAGCAGCTGCGGTTGTAGACCCACACCCCGTCTGCCTCGCGCGTCAGCTGGATGCCGTAGCCGATCTTGGCCCGAACCATCTGCACGAGCTGGGACTTGTTTTCAGAGCAGAGCTGGCCGAGGCAGAAGCCATTCCCTTGAGGTAGATCGTAGAAGATGTCCAGGGAGGGTTCCTGAACCGAGTAGAGGCGCCCGACGCGTGTTTTCTCCTCCCAGTATGCCACCACGCACCAATGGGCCCGTTCACCAGACTCCTGCAATGCCAGGGAATCTGAAGGAGGGAGCAGAGGGAGAGAGAACGAGATGGTTAGGTCTGGGAAAACGACCATAGAGGTTTAGACAAAAAAATTTGATCAGTAGGAGAAGGGGAGATGAGAGGGAAAGCATAGCAGAGTCGTGATCAGATGTCATCTAAATCTAACCCACAAAGCTGCTTAAGCATTGCTACATCTGAACAAGTTCTTCCTTATCCTAGTTTTGGGAAATGAAGAATTTGCTTTAGTCAAGAGCCAAAACTAAGCTGTCATCCATAATTTCTGCCACACAGGAAAACCATTCCTGGAGTTCAGACATGAAAATCAACGGGGAAACACTGCCAGGCAAGTTTCCACAGGCAGTACAATATTTATCTAGGCATTAAATGCTTATCTTCTGTCTGGCTGGCTGCATTTTCGCGGCAGCGCGGCTAACGGAGTGCTGACGTAGACCTGATGTCCTGATCAGTCCCTTAGCCGTATGCTTTACCCCGCCGGAGGAAATTAGAGTCTCGTTTTGACTGACAAAGATGAGGCCGCCGTAGCCGTGACAGCAACAAGATGAAGTGCTTTCACACAAACACATAAACCATGCTTAGCAGACGAGCGAGGCAGGCCGTTAACTCTCAAATTCTGGTGTCTGGATCACTGACGAGCGAGGCCTCACCAGTCTAAAGTTTCCCCCCACACACACACACACACACACTCACACACCACCACCACCGTAAAAGAAGTGCAGCTTGGCCATGCTCCAGTTTCCAAACTCCTCCTCCCTTTTTCGTTCCCCTCTAGAGCACCTCCTGCGCCATCCCTCTTTCCCTTCATATCTCTATTCCGCATAAATCTGGCTCCCAGCTCCAAGCCAGAAAAGTGGGAGCCAGTCAGGCGCAAGGGAAATATAGGAAGACAGAGAAGAGGCGGGGTGGGGAGGAGATGGAATGCTTTTCACATATTTTGACCGTTACTTTTGCAACTTCACTTCCTCTTCAAATTTTTAAGTGTCTCCTGTGCCTTTTAGGGTGAACATCTTATTGCTGGGACTTCTATTAAGTGCTAAACCATCTGCTCAGTGGACAAACACGGCCTCTGAGAGAGATGCAAAGGTTAAGAAACCTTGGAAGCTGGATATATATATACACACATAAGAAAAAAAAGAGCTCCACTCAAAACCATCCCTATTGCACCCGACCTTCGCATTCAACCTCCCTCTTTCATCTGGCAGGCGGTAGCTGTGAATGTAACCGGTAATTTGGAAGGTCCCGTCTGAGACAAACTGCAATGTTAATGCAGCTGGATCTCTGCCGGCCCAAGCAGACTTAGCCCGGCCTGTCATTAGCCTTCATTAGATACAGGGGAAAAGAAAAAAAATGGAAGGAAAAAGACAACATTGGGAGAAGAGAGACAGAAAGGAGGAGGAGAGGGAAGGGGGCCAGAAAAACTGAAAGCATGCCTTCCATAAAACAAGAGGGGCTGTGTTCTTTGAAGTTGGACTGAGCCGAGCCTCGGGGAGTTTTTCATAAATCCATCCTCGTGGGGTGCAAAGGGAAACTGAGTACCCAACTATCTACCTCAGACTAAATTGGGGGAAAAGAAAAATTTATCTTCCAGATAAGAAACCGAAAGCGTCTTTTATGTCTAAGGCGGATGTCAGAGCGCCTCCAATTTTGTGGTATGTTTTACATATACATGAACCGATTAGATGATAACGGAGAAGGATGTGTGGGACTTTCTTAACAGCTGAGAGTGGGCCTGCTGGTAGAGCTCACCTGTGGGGCCCAGTGTGTGCGTGTGTGTGTGTGTGTGTGTGTGTATTTGTTATTGCTGGGAGAGACAGGGCCTGGCGTCATAGGTCATTAGAGCGGCTGCCTGTCTGAGCCTGTCATTGCAGCCTGAAAACACCCTGCTATTCAGGACTACACTAACTGCCCCACTTCCCCTGCCTCATGGGCTCTTCCCTCATTCCCTCTCCACAACTGGTGGTGGGTGAGAACCGCAGGACCGAAGGATGAATTTAAGTTAACCGTCAAAGTTAGACAAATAAAAAACGTCAGAAAAAAAAAGACGTCAGCTAGTACCAATAGTGGTCCTTCGCCTTTGTAACGGTAACACTAAAACAAAATGTTAAGCCCAGTCCTCGGAAAGACAGGATGATAAGTCAATAGTTATTTTTCTTGTTGGAGCTCTAAAAAAAAGAGCATTCAACACTTTGAATCATGCGACATGATGACAAATGCTCGTGCGTTTTAATATCCTGAATGCCCTGGGTTTCTAACACAGATGTCAGCAGCACTCTGTTGGGCTCAAATGTCCCTTACAGGTAAACAAACCCAAACTCATTATGTTCAGTATATCGGCGAAGGGAAGGAGAGCCGGGCGGACTCTTCCATCTGTGGGGTGCTGCCTTGTGAACAGTATGTTCGCAGCTTGTTCTGACAGCAGAAGAGCTTACGCCTCATGAGTAATGCCGCCAATCACACACACACAAACACACACACACACACACACACACACACACACACACACACATTTACAAAAAACCCACACACTAATTTGAGTGACCCCAGTATCAACACACCTTGTTCTAAGTGCAAGGCTCATTTAACTGAATTTTTAATTTTTAAACACAGTATAGGAGGTGTCGGGCTCCTGGTGTTGCAGCCCGACACCGTCTCAGACATATGGGTGTTTGTGTCGTCCTAGTTGGGCCTCGTACCCATCAGCCCCAGCCGTAGTCTCTGTCTGTACATCTGTGTGTGTGTGCGTGTGTGTGTGTCTGTCTGCATGCTGGATGTCTGCCTCCCCACCTGCTCGTCTGCACTGCGGACTTTCAGCCCTCTTGTGTCTCTGGGCCTCTCCTCGCAGGAGATAAGCTGACTAGCTGGCAGCCTACGGCCATCTGTCACCCCGGCCCCTCTCTGTTCAGCCTCACTCAGTTGTCTGCTGCCGGTCCGTCCCATGGGATCCCGCATGCAAACCCCCCACGCAAAAAAAAAAAAAAAGAAACAGACTTTCCCCACTGCCCTACTGTGTGTCTGAGAGTACAAAGCGAGACAACACAGGAGGGCTTAAATTGTTTTTCTGTCATGTGATCTGTCACAGGCGCACATTGCTCCTGTGTTTTCTTGGCGTTTAGTGGATGATCTGCTTCTCTTCCGTGAGGAATGTGGGGGTTGGTGCGCAACCGCAGCTCGCCAGACAAGTGTAAATATCGCTTCTATTGAACCGCATGTGCGATAGAGAGAATTTTCAGAACAAAGACGGAAGATCCAAGGGTGTTAGATCCCCTGTTGATTTAAAGAGTGGACGTTACGCTAACCGAGACAACCGGACTCGGCCAAAGGGAGGAGGGAGAAGACGGGGGGGGTTGGCAGACTGGGTGCTACTCATAGGGCCAGAAACACAGTCTGGAAAGGTTAATCATTACCTCTGTCTGACTCCACACACACACACACGCACGTACCCACACACACACCAGGATACTGCTATTCTTAGAAGTCAGCACAGCCACAGAGTAACACGCTTACACCGTCATGCGCACACGCACTCAATTTCCGGCCTTCGGTTCTGAACACTTTCAACATGGGTAAATAGTGAGGAGGCTCCTGAGGACTGTCTCGCATCGATTCCACTGAGCTCTGTGTGTGTTTGTGCCTCTCTCCGCTCAGACGTGTAATGACCCTGTCGTCATCAGACACACACAGCAGCTGAAGAAGGGAATGAGGAAGACATGAAGGAAACAGCTCGAGGGGGGGAGGAAGGGCTCTTCACGGTGCCTTATTTTCTAAGTCAACACCCTCTCTGGAGCCGAGGAAAGTCTATTCCAAAGGTCAAGGGTCACCCTGGAGGCATTCCTTTTGTTCTCTCTGCCATGCTGTATAAGTCCAGTCGTGTGTGTTTGTGTGTGTGTGTGTTTGTGTGTGTGCCTCTTATTTGCAGTCAAACCCAGACTTTCTCCCCTCTCGCTCACAAAATATTCGGTCTCATTGATTTTTCTTTCCAGAGTTTTAAAGTGAAACAAACTCCTCAGCAGAAATGCTTCCTGTCCACTGAGAGCTGCTGAGGTGTGTCTTTGCTAGTCCTTCTGCCTTTGTAAAATAATCTAATTCAATGGAAGGCAGAGAGAAACATCAGTCTTTGTGAGGAGAGAGGGTCATCCCAGTCCCACATCAGTGTAACGTCACGGCCTCCAAAGTTTAAGCCACAGACTTCATGCATATACTGTTTAGTACTTGCTTTTGAATGTGATTAGTTACTTCTTGTGCAGCAGATCAGCCCGTTTGCCAAATGCCATTATTTCAGACCTAATTGTGTTATTTAACTGGAATGCGCTGCTTTTCTTCCTAGCGTTTACAACCAATCTCGAGAGGCTTCCTTTTAACACTGTGACGAAAATGTTTCTGCAAAACCTTCTTCTTTCTTCTACACAATCCCGTTCCTTTTTTCATTCGTGCAATTCAATCTCACCACTGACGGGTCCAGTAGACACCGAGATGTGTTCATGCAGCCTAGAGTGATTAGCCTCAAGTGCCCCTTGACAAACCAGACGACAGAAGTATGATAAGCTCACTTATTTCTTATGTCACACATCAAGATCTTTAAGATCTCTAAGCATAAAGTCTACAGCGCTTCTCTAGTGATAAGACCCATCTATCGAGTTTCGTGGAGCCACGGATGGCCTTGCCCAACATTTCCCATTACGCGGATCTTTAACCAAAGCTTTGTAAAAAAGAAATTGTGGAATATCCCTTTAAGATTATTCATAAACAAGCAAATGCTGCCACGTTTCAATTTTCCACAACAGAACTCTATGTGCATTTCTTGAGGGAACAACATTTTGACTAAACATTCTTTAATAACAAGGCAGATAGAGTCCAGCAGATGGGTGGGTTTAGTATCTGGAACAGAGGAAGTGCCGCTTTAGGGTGGCAAGTTACGTAAGCTCTTAAGTCCTTCCCCCATTTCAGTAAACCTAAATAAGCCCTGATGGCAGGAAAACCACATAGGGGAGTGGCACAGTTCTGCTATCTGCAGATCTGTCTCCTTGCAGAAACACAGATAGAGAGAATGAGCTGCAGACACGCCATCTCTAACATGAACCATCCGGCCACGACCGGGAGGAGATAAGGGGAAGAAACGGCGCATGTTTTCCTAACGTTTGCCTCTGCCTATGGAGGAACTGCTTCAATTCCACGACCCGCAAGTCTTGAAGTCTCTCAGAAAATGATGTGTTCCTCACAGCTCGAGATAAAACACCGAGATCTCTCATAATTATTTGGGCAACATCTTCCATCTGGAACCACATTATCACAGAAATCCAGCACGATCCTTTTTCACTGAGGGACATTTTGTTCCCCTTGTATTGCCTCCTTCCTACTCCTGTTGAGTTCTTATTCCAACACTTCATCAAACTGACCCTCGCTCGCTCACTCACACACACACACACACACACCACCACCACCTCCACTCCCTGCAGCCCACATTTCCCAGGGTGACAGGACAAATAAACACCAACTACTTGGAAAGAGGGTGCCAGGCAGGCTGGAGTGATGTCATCAGCGCGCTACTGCAAACACGCAAGTCAGGAGATTACCCACAAGATCCGTATCTGTAGGTTTTTCGGTGCGCACGCACACACGCACGGGCGCTACAGACAGATGGACAGAAGAGCCCAACAATCGACTGCATTGTTGTGACACTGAAACACCGTGGGAACTAAAAACAAAACACCACAAACAGAGACAAAGGCAACCAACAGAGCCAGCCGTATGTGATCTGAGCACTTTGTTGAGTTTTTACCCTGTTATTAGTAATTATAGACCTCTGTGTATCTGCGAGTGTGTGGTTATGCCAGCACTGATAGAGATGTGGTTACTGACAGGAATGAGTGTGTCACCAAGACATCCAAAGGCCCCATCTCCTTTCCTGAGTACACAAAAGACAAACATGACTACATGAATGAGCAGGCGGGAGGGTGGAGACAACAGCGCCGTGTGTCACACAAGAAGTCTGAAACACACACACACACACGCACGCACACACTCAGGTTTACAGGCATATGTCTCCACTTATTTCCATTTCCGTTTTTTTTTTTATCCTTCTAAAGAGGGGTTTGATCCCTCCCTTCCTCCTTCTCCTTCACACATTCTCTTTCTCTTGTTCATGGTTTCATACATCGAGGTAGTGTCAAAATCCACTTCCACGGCATGACTGCAAACCAAAACAATGTTCATCTTGTTCTGGGCTTCCCTCCAGCTTTGGCACGGAGCCCAATCTGCCTAGCCCTTCTTTCAGTCAGTGGGCTATGCAAAGATAGGCTAATGTTTTCAACTAATGCAACTACTCATGGCATCTGAAAGCAAAGAAAAAAGCCAAAACCATGAAAGCAAGGCACACTCTCCTCCATCTTCTCCATCCTTTGCTGTCTTCTGCATGCTGTTTTTTCGATTTGTGCAGCATAATGACACAGGGTGGGGAACAGAGGACAGCCAAAACCAAAATTAAGTCCCTTGCCAGGAGGCGGCTTGGCTGCCGCACAAGGAGAGGAAGTGGGGAGTAATGAGAGATCCTGGCCCAGCACGGAGCGGCCCGGCTCCACTCTGCTCCACTCGCTGGCTAACACACAGCCTCCAAATTACAGAGAACAGTGCAGAGCTGATGGCCATCTTTCCCTCCACCCAAAGCCGCCATCTTCTCCCTCTCCCTCAGTCCTTCCTCTTACTGTTCAAGCAGAAATTAAACGGAAATAAAGTGGCCCTGGAAATAAATAGTAAATTCTCTCTTCAAAGAGCGGGCGAAGTGTACATTTCAGTCATTGTAGAACTGTTTGCTTCTCTCAACCCCCCCTACTGAAATCCTTGTGGTCAGTGCACCCCAGTGTTTGTTTTCTGTCAAGATGAGGCCTCGGCTGCCTCCCTATCCGCTCGCCTTTTCCTCAAAGACATGAGGTCATATCCTGCGCGGCCCTTTCCTCTCCCAGCTAACCCAAACATGGCAGGAATGCTGAAGGAGAGAAGGAAGACTGAAGGTGCTCTGTTTTCTGAGCTGTTTTCTTAATTGCTCGGGATTAGTTTAGTTAAGTTTTTTTTTTAGAGAAAAAAAAATCTTGTTTGAGGTACTACTTTGGCAATTTGTAATTGAAACCTCACTTCCTGAAAATACCAACCATAACAACCACCTTCAAAACAACACAACACAGGCCTTTTCTCTCATTGCGTCTGCTCCAAAAATGGGTCATTTCTTTGGGACCTTTCCTTATGACGGTGGAACGAGTCTGATTTAATGAGCCGAGGTGCTGAGACTAAATTTAATCTCCATCAGAGCCCCTGATGAAGGTTACACTTCCAGCCGATTCACCGGATGACTAATTGACTGACTGAAGGCCTGGCCGACTGTCTGTCGAGTGAGATGACTGGCTGGTGGTATAAGAATACAACTCGGCCTAAATTTAACCTGCTGTGGGAGGAAGCGCCTGTGTGACAGTCGGCTGTCCGCCAGGGCTCGCACCGGGTCATTCTATCTGCCCGCCTGTGTGTATATGTCGAAAAGTGCGTGTTCGTGTGTGTGTGCGTGCGTGTGGATACATGTCACCACAACCCGGCCGGATCCTCTTACACACAGGCACGACTGGTCTGTCCCCAATGGCACCAACAGGCATGCCACATAGACACATCCATGCACATTCAAAGGTTTTGCTCACACAGAAGTCCCCAAATTTACTTATTGTGTATATGTACACTTTAGCTGGGTACTCATAATAGTAATCATTTGGGAGGGAAAAAAACAACCGCCAAATATTTTTATACTTCTATCGGATTGATCCCGACTAAATTCAATAGGCTGTCAAATGTATTCAAGCTGTATTTTTGAACTGCTGCTTGTGTTTCACGTATTGGATAGAGTCATACTAATTTGTAGAAAACACTGCGCTCCCTGCAGCTAAAACTTACAAAATATGTTTTATAGCCGGATTTTAAATGGGTTTTAAAAAATGATCCCACACCTCTTTAAGCTCCACGCTTGACAAAATGGATCTCTGGCAACATGAATACCTAAGCTGCTCATAACTCAAAGTTACTTAACACTCCACATATTCATAACCAACACTCTAGCGCGCTCTTAACCCTGACCCGATATGCATTTCACAATCCCTCCTCTGATCTCTCTGTTCAGTTCCTGGGTGAACCCGAAGCTCCGAGCCAAGTCCCCACCACGGCTTAAACCGAGATTGGTGCCGTGACACCCGGCTCCAGCCATCCTCTCCTCTTCCCTTCCCTCTCTGCTCTGTTCCAAGCTGATGACGTGAGCCAGTGAGGGGAGCTTTGGAGCTGCTAGCCTGGCAGGCAGCCTAGTTTGCATTTGCGCTTGTCGCTGTCGCAGTTCCTTTAACTCCTTCCAGCCTGAAAGATCCAGGCTTTTTTTCTAGGATGTACAAACAGCCAAGAACACATCCCACTAAACTCTGCTTGAGTTACCTTTTTAGATAAATATGGATTTCTTGAGGGGCGGTTTTTAGCCCCTATAGAGATGCAGCTCCATAGCAGCCGCTTAATCAATCCAGTCTGACGCTTTCTCAAAGACAACAAGGTATTAATTATTCTAATAGAATGCAAAAAGTTCCAGGACTCTGGCTGAGTTCAAATCTTTGCTTTTCTCCTCTTTAGAGCCTCCCTCCTCTCTGTAAATATGTCTGAAGAAGAACATAAAAAGGGCAGAGTGAGTGAATTAGAAGGTCAGCAGCAGGCCTCTGGGAGAGCCATGTTTCTTTTGTCAGGGCCCCAGAGGGAGGGAGCAAAGCAGCGGAGGAGGGAGGGAGGAAGAAGAGGAATGGATTAGTCTTTTTCTTTCCTCAGCTTGCCAGGGAAATCATGAGGGCAGAGTGCTAGGGCCATCACACTCTGGCTTTTCTACCTCCTCCGCTCCTACTAAGGAGGCCCATTCACCAAACCTCTGGCCGCTGGTGTCATTTCATCCTGGCCAGGAAGGAAAACAGGGGAGGAGGCTGAAGTGGAGGTGGAGAGGCAGGGTGTGTGCCTTACTGGGTGAGGAAAAAAACTAAGGGAGGAGGCACGGGGAAGGGCGCCTGTTAAGACTCCACTTCTTGGGTTTCACAATTTGAACTGTGCCTAAAGCATGTCTTTAGTTAATGCACACAGGGAGGAGTTTAGTGTCCATCTGATGGTCTGGAGGTGGAGGAGAGGACAGACATGATTCTTGGATCCCCAGCCCCTTTAAAACATTGCTCTGATCCTCCCCCTCTTATACGGACACACACAGGCACGCTAAACCCTCCACCCCCCTCCGACCACCAAACAAAGGCGGAGGGGGGGGGGGAAATGGGCAATGAACACCAACTGACATAAAACAGGCTTTAAAGGCCATCTGAGAACCATCTGAGGCAAAAGAAAGCAAAGCACAGAGCAATCCCAGGCAGCGGAGAGCAACCTCTCCCTCTCATGAGCATCATCTCCTTCTGTAGCCCACGGACTAGGCCAAGGGTAAGGAAGGCGACACTGCCAAAGGGGATTATGGGGGAAAGCTGAGGAAGGCCAAAACATGTCCTGCATGAGAGCTGGAAGAAAGAAAGGCGCCTGTGTCTCATTCTTATCCACACAGAGCCCAGAGGAGCAGTACCCGTCTACAAAGACTTCCCCTGTACACGCAAACATCCCAAAACAAACACTGAAATGTCAAATAAAGCCGGCTTTTTTCCCCCCCTACAATACCACATGCACTGAACATGCTATTCTTCAAACAACAGACCAGCGTGTTTGTCTTCTATTACAACACTACACAGAGAGGGATGAGAGGGCATGAGAGAGAAGAGAGGAGTGTTGTTCAAAGAGCCAGGAGGGAAGAATTTATGTGGATGTGGGAGAACTACGCCACCCTCCCTCACCAGCTTTTTTATTACAGAGGGGAAGCAGGGGCCCCCACAATCACTGCCTCATCATCACAAGTATGGACGGGAGATGATGTGTGTGTTGGGAGGAATGCAAAGAAGCAGGAAAAGGAAAACAGGGGAGGAAAATTATATGGAGAAAAAAATGGGTGATATAAACAGGAGATGTATTGGTGGGAATGTTTACCTGAAAGCCCCACAGGGGCCGAGTATGTCGTTCCTCCAGTGTCACTGGATGAGGGTCCAGAGTCTGGAGAATCTAATGGAAAGGTGGAAAGAGAGACATTGTTTTAGCGACCCCCCGAGTGTGTTCTTGTGTGCATTTGCATGTGTGTGAGAGGAGACGGCGAGGCAGCAGCTGTGAGGCCGTCAATCACTGGGGTGAAATCAATGCCTAATGAAGACGCTGACGATGAAGCTCACACTCTCACACACAAGCACACACTCACAGAAGACTTACAGCAGAGAATTTCTTACACCCCTGATAATCCCACATAATCCACTGCTTAGGCAGGAATGTGAGCCCTGCTTCTCCGCACAGACGATCTGTTGATCTAGATAGACCCGTCTTCTTTCTGCTAATGATGGAGGCGAAGGTTTGGGACGGACACTTTGATCCCAGCTCGAAAAAAACCCCAAGATAAGATCAGATATAAGAAGACTGACGGGGAGGTCCTAAGTGTCAGATTATTGTTTTTTCTGTTTCCTTACCCAGATCTTACACAGGCCTGGAGAAAATGAGCTGCCGTAAATCTTCTATGGCAAACAAAATAGGAAAAGAAAAACAGTCGTTTTTCTTCCCCCTCGTGCCCCCATTTGCATCTGTGCACTCAAAGCTGTAATGTAGGCTAGTTCCAACACGACACCTGAGCGGAGCTTTAACAGAACCTCTGTGTGCCGCGCGGAACGGGCATGCCGCTGGGACCCGGCTAGTCGCTGGTAGCTTCCCTAATTATACATTCCTTTTGCTGCACGTCAGCGCCGCGCTACAACTTGTACGTGCCGTGTGTGTGTGGTGGCGGTCGCCTCCGCTCTGGCTGAACAATGACACTATAATGAGAAGTTTTTCTTTACGCCTCTAATGCAAGCCAGATGCACAGAAGTCACCAAAAGGGAAGGAAAAAAAAACGACCATTTCTCTGACTTGTGGCAGCGATGGATGCTGATGCTACACAAACACACACACACACACACAGGTCTCCTGCAGCCCGCGCCGCCGCGGTCACGCTAACGAGATGCGAGGGCATAACCCAATCCTGCCTCGCTTTCATTGGCTGCCAACACGCCTTGCCCTGGTCTCCCGGGCAACAGTTCACAGGGGTTGAGGGGCATCGGGGAGAAAGAGCCAAACAGTGTGTGATTTATAATTCCCATGAGCTAAAAAACAAGGTGGCGTTTTATGTCCAGGCTCTTTTCATAACTGACCGCCGCTGGCCGCTGGGGCCGGACACGCACCCCGACACATCTCACCCCCCCGCTGCTCACCCAGCCCCATGAAAGCAGCATCGTGAAAAGCAACGGCTCTTCCACTTCACGATGACATTTGTAGCATCTAATAACCTATTTGGACCGGATATGCAGGTTCTATGATGAGTTAACAGTACCCATCATTAAGATAAATACTGAGAAACTGGTAAAGGACATTTTAAAGACTGCCGAGAGGAAGGAGGTGATGACTGACAGCGTCCCCGTCCCGTTTTTCCACCTGATAAACTCACCTGACCTCTGTGTGCGAGCACACCTCGGAGTCTGATTAATACGCAGCTCCATTTTTCATCATTACACACACACAGACTGTCACCCAGAAAAATATGATCTCCTTTGTTGTCGCGCTGATTTAAAAAAAAGTTGGAGCAGAACTACAGGCGAACTACCGAAATAAACACAGCGAAAAACAACCCAAAAAAACAGAGATCTTGGTTTTTTTTCTACCGTTGCTGCTCTCCTTGGCTGCGTTCAACTCCCATGCAATTACAACAATTCAAGTTCGTTCCAAGAGAGGAAGCAGGGTGGTAACATGCGTTGTATAATCATTTCCTCTGTCTGCATCCCACTTGCATTTCCTATTTACCTTCTTGTTTCCTTCTATGACTGGAAAGTCTCCAGATGAACTCATACAGACCCCACACTAACCGTATGACAAATCCCACCAAATCGGCAACGAGATGAAGGTAGGGAATTTACCACAAGTCTCTTAGATCAGTTCTTCTTGGATCTAATTTTTGAGACCTGTTTTACTAGCACAACAATAATGCCGGGACAGGGTAGATGGGGTTGACAGAGAAGAGACTGTGCAAAGGGGGGGGGGCTTTGAAGAACCACAGCTGCAGCTGCAATGACTTCCTATTGTTTCCACTCACTGAAAGCCACTTTCTCCTTCTCCTGCCCGGCTGTAAAACTCTTAGCCCTTTGTTCACATACAGACGGAGAAGGTGGATAAGTGAGCAAAGAATTAAGCCAGACGTGGAGATAACTTCAAAAACTGGGGGCTTTGCTGTCCAACACAGTCAATTCCATTTTTTTTGTCATCTTCTCTGGGACTTGAAATGAGACTTGCCTCTCATTTTGTAGCAATAGGGCAGAGTAATGCCTGGACTCTGGCACAGGTGGACGGAGAAAAAACAATCAGGATTTTTTTTCTTTAAATGCGTTGAGGTAAAAATTGCTTCCATACCAATGCTTAATGTACACAAGAATTCAAAGACCCTCTCACACTCCCTAAAATCCATCTAAAGTGAGATGATAACACCCCCCCAAACCACACTCACGTAGCACGCAAACACACACACACACACACACACTAGCAAGCACTAAATCTCAATCTGCTGATCATTTCAGCTGATAAAGGCTGGCTGGCTCCAGAGACGCTGCTGTCCGTCTGTCTCCCTCAGAGCTGAGATTCACAATAGATAGACGGACACACAAACAACCCCCCCACCCCCCCTCCTGCCCAGCCCCCCCACAGACATGCACACTGCCCCTGGTGATGTGCCAGTCAGTCTATAGCTGGTGTCTCAACTTTGTATTGCCTTGCCCTGGCTGCCAGCCACAATGGAATTGGCCAGCCAGCCAGGCGTGCCACTCGGCTGCTATCATAAATCACAACATAACGTGGAGCCATTTCCTACTCACACAAATGTACTGCAGGGATAGGCAGGACTACACGATTGTGTAATGTAAATATCCTCGGGATCGGATTCATACAATACGGTTAGTTAGATGTGTACATGACACATAGGTATAAACAGTTATATGTGTGTGTGTGTGTTGGTGTGTTTGTGCCAGAAATTCAAGCTCACCTGGTGGTTTAAGATAGTCCATGGGATAGCGTGAATATGGAGGAGGAGGAGACTCTGTTAGGGGGGAAAAAAAGAAGCAGTGCATGAGAAAAAAAAAGTGGGGGGTAGGGAGGGTAGAAACATGGCAAAGATCTAAACTTTATGATAAGAGTTGTCAT